TAATTATTTACTATTTATTAATAATATAATTTATTATCATTACTTAGCTGCAGTGCAAGATGTGAAAACAAGAACTTCCAAATTCTTAGAAAAAATAAAGATGATAAAGCATTCAAGTTTTAGTTAACTCCTTCATCAATAAAAAAAGATCAAATAACTTTACCTGATCTGTTCTACAGTTTGGGGATTGTGGTCTCCCACAAAAATAAAATAAAATAATCCAAAGTTTCTTTTCACAGTTGTTAACCAAGATGTCAGTTGTAATGAACCATCTGGAATCTGGCAGGAGGAGTCCCATGTCCTTATCCCTGGTGTAGAGTCCTGGACAGAACTATATTGTCTTGAATAGTCAATAACATCCCTTTCAAATACCTAAAAAAATAAAAAATAAAAAGGAAAAAAAAAAGGAAATGCATGACAGTTTTCTCAGAGGGGAAGGGGAGAAGGCTTGAATAGACTTTTAAAGGAAAAAGAAGCACAGACTAAATCAGCACTTACAGCATTTGTAATACTTATTCACTGCTTTTTGTTCTTTCATTCTCTCTGCTTTAACTAGCAGCGGTAGTAATATTTTTCAGACTTTCTGCAACATTTTCTTCATTACAAAGTTAACAAGTAGCCATAATAAAATTCTGTTGGTATTTATAAGCAATACTCTGCTTCTAGAAGCAAACAGGTATCTTCTAGAGTAGCCTGAAGAGAGTTTGAATTAAGGAGACCAGCAGGCGTGGAAGAGTAATTGGCCATTAAAGCTCATCAAACTATGTTAGTGTAACTGCAGCTTCCTCTGTTAATGATCTAGAAGTACAATATATAATCCATGCTTTGAGGCAACTTGTGTTAGAGCAAACATTTTTATTCTATTCAAATTAAGTAATTGTCCTCAAGTGAGGATTTACAAATACCTAGAAAACTCTTTTCCAGATTTGCTTTCCTAAAAAAAATAGCATCACCACCCACAAGGAAGCATGTATTTGAAGTGGTAGGCAATGACATCTAATATCAAATGAAACAAACCATGAACATAACAAAAATATACTAAAGCAAAGAACACAGGTAATTTCATCTTTCAAATATCTGTGAAAGACAGGTTGAAATAAAACAGCAGAAATGTGTTGCATTCCCACTTTCCTGCTAACTAGTGAGGGGCTTATGACAAACAGCACAAGTGGGGTGTGTTACAGTAAACACCAGAAATATTTTCTGTCTCTCCTGGTGAACTACTACTTTTTTTGTTTGTTTGTTTGTTTTCCTGAAATCATTCTAATTATAGTAATCACATGAAAATTAAGACCATCAGAGTTTTGTTAAGTGAAAGCAAAAAGCAATAGACATTTATTCAATGGTTATAAATAAAATTTGGATCAAAGCATGTAAGAACTGACACTGAATTATTTTCATTTTTAAAGTTTCAGCTTTTAAAATGAATTTAAGTGTTGCTCTACACGCAGAGAGAAGGGATGTATGGACAAGTCCTACAGGATCCTAAATGCCCCCAACAAGCTGCATCTTAGCTCAAAAGAATTTGAAAGCATTTAAGTATTCTGCAGTATGAGGTCACTAGAAAACAAACATATATCAAAATTACAAGGCTAGGCTCTGACAGTGACCAGCCTTTTATCAGTTTAATGTTTTCTGAATGCAATAATTCCACAAAACATTAATATAAAATAGCATAATAGCTAACACTGATTTTACATTATGAGAATATATATACATACACATGCCACTACAGTGAATACCCACAGAACTGAGGATGGGAAGTAGGATGTGCAAAGAAACAAAAGAAAGCAAAAAACTTTCTTGACAAAATACATTTTCTTATGTTCTTTACATTGCACAACTGTAAATAATACCAACGGCTTATACTCAAAGTGCCTTGTACACACATAAAGACCCCTAGCTGAAAGGCATCAGCTGTTAAAGCAGCACAACGCAACACTTCAGAAGGTGCACACACATAAGGAATGAAATACTGAATCCAAAAGGAAATTGCAGAAGAGAGCTGGGTAGGAAGGACTTGAAATTATCCTTTCAGCAGTGTGTGGCAGTTAATATCTCCTTCTTAAGTGCTAAGGGATCTTTAAGAAACGGTTACAGATCTGAAAGGAACACCTTGAATATCTTAGTATCAGACTGAACTACTCCATCAGTAGACTGAGAAGACTGCAGTGACATGAAATAGCAGCACAATGGCCCCCAGACTTCCAGGTTTATTTGGAGGTAGGATTAAGTCTAATGACAATTAGTTTTTAGATCTGAATAAATATATAGTTTGATAAGATATATACGATACTACAGATATAATTTGACTTAATAAATCTCATAGTGAAGAAGCAGGGAAAAAAGATACAAGAGAAGTGGACTGTGCTTCAGGCCTGTAAAAGTTTTTAAAAGCCCTCTATTCATTGAATCATCAAGGAGGGAGGAGTATAGATGAAATAAATTGAAAATAAGAAAGGTACAGAAATGCAACAAAAGATATGCAGCACTGTTGGGTTATTGAGTTAATTTCTCAAGAAGATCCAGATGGTGATTTCAGTCTTATGAAGAAGTTGGCATTACACTTTACTGTCAGCAAGACTTAAATATATTGTGTGATTTTGCTGACTGATAAATTATTTGTATTGCATTCAGAGAAATCTCTTAAAGGCTATAGGTTGAAGGCACCGAAAAAAACCCATTTAAGTCTAGTTGCATAATTTTAAGGACCTTAACCTGATCTTGAAAATTAAGTGTTATTTAATCGTTATTCCCTATACAAGTCATAAAGATAGTAGCTGTACTCAAGATTTACTCAGTACATCCTGAAGGCTTTTTAAAATTCAGATTCACTACAAGCTACTGTCCCTTTTTTACCATCACTTTAAAAAAAAGCATAGTCAATTTCATTAAACTCATAACTGCAAACATGCTTGCTTGCCTACGCCAATTAGAATGTCCTTGTCCATTCTAGAAGACCGATGCACAGAAACAGTATCCTTATATTTTCTGAAAGAACACCTATAAACCAGCATCAAACTTGTTAAGAACAGATCCTTTTGTGTACAGATAGATTTGGAGCCTGTGGATGTTGTGCAGCATAACGTACAGTGAAAGTGACAAAAATCAAGGAAAAGTTGTGCAGTTTCAATTCACATGCAACTATGAATAACATGTTTTGTTTTTTTATTCTGAATCAACTGGAATTGCCATATGTACACCCATGGGTAAATGACGTACTCTGAGCTTCTGATTAATAGAGAAATATATATAATAGAAAAGTGAATCTTTGCTACCTGAAAGATAATAAGGACCACAGATTCACTGTAACACACTTGTGGTTTGTGAGCCACAGTAATGAGCTACAGTACTCAGATAATGCTCCATCCCCAAAACTGAAGTTTCTGCCAGTTGAGACAATTTTCATAGCTGAGATAATTTCTACAGATTGAGTTAAAAAGACCTTAAGTATGTACTATAAGCTGAAGGGGAGGCAGACCGCAATTCATCCTTATGAACCCCCTTTTCACTTCCTTATATATTTTGATGCTAATTCCTTGTGTCCTATGCAGGGAAGGAGGAGGGAAAAGAATGAGAACGGGCAGATGATAGGACTCTGTTTGGGGGGCAGGAAAAAGCATTCTAGTAAGTTAATACGTATTTTCTTATTTTTGTTAGATTAATCTAGTCTATGTGTCCACTACAGTGGCATTTACGTGGCAGCACTGGAGGAGTTTTAAATACATACGCTCAGAACAAAATATTCTTCATCAACAGCTCTGTTTTTCCTTGGATACTGAAGCATGAAGTAGATTTCCATCAAAATCCAACACTGTCCGTAGACTACACAGCAATGTAGAGGTTTAGCAGATTTTAATAAGGAGGACATGATATATCTACCCTAAAATTATCCAAAAAGTTTTAAGGATTGGATTTGAATATTGAAGAGTAGAACATCAGAAAGCCACACGAGGACAGCTTGCAGTGATTACTTGCCTGAATTAAATACATAGCAACAGATCTCACTAAAAATGGCCTCTAGTTTTAGCATCTTTTATTAACAACAACTATAGACACCTACTTTAATAGGAAGTACAATGACAGCTGTTTCAGGACTTCAGTTTAGACAGTATGCAAGGGAGGAAGACAATATGCCATATTTATGCTCTTCAACCTTTGGAATCGCTGTCCCTAACTGAATACTTATTGTTGAAACGTATACATTTCCCTTTCTTCATCATGTTGATAACACTATACCACCACCAATGATCCTAAATTCTACCTCACTTTTTGGAAAGTGATAATCACTTTATCTAGGCAACTATTCTGAACCTCTCCCAATTCAGAAGGGAAATTTACTAGCAGCTAAGGAGCTGGCAGTCTACAGCTAGGTAGACATACACTTTTCAGTTAGAAAAATCATAAAACACTGTCAATGCGGTGCTCTTATTGCTTTCTTTCCTACAACCCAAAGGACGAGCGATTTAAAAAAAAAAAAAAAAAGCCACGAAAACATCAAGCAAAGCCACTACTGAATGTTTTGACAGAAGCCTCCTGAATCATGACACATGGAAAACCACTAGATCCTTTGTTTCAATTTTCCTATTGAAAATCATCAATGTATTGGGTTTGCAAATGATTTGTAATGAGTGAGGATATTTCTAGGAATAGGATCTACTCAGCTTAATCCAATTTCTGTAATAAGCATCAAGACTTACATCTCCCTCTTGTTAGGCAATGTAGATAGAGATAGGAAGCTTTGCGCTGCCCATGACAGAAGAAATCGATTCTTTTTCTTTTAAAAAGAATACAAGAAATAGAAGGTGATTTTTCTTTCTTTGTTAAAGCTATTACTGATACTATCATTCTGGAAAAGACCTCAGGAACAGCTGTCAAAATAACTGGTATCAATCAAATTCAGGGCAGGAAATTGGATTAGAAGGGTGGGGGTGGAAATCTATATGCAACACAAAGCAGAAACTGTCAATAGAAAGGCAAGATGAGAATACATTTCTGAGAGAGGCTTCTGTTCACCAGATATTTGAATAGATTCTTGCACAGGTCTAAACAATATCCTTTGCCCTGGGCAATAGTCAGCTCTCTCACATTTACTGGAGTTATAAGTAGTTTACCCTCTAATCTGACAGTCAAAAAGTCACAGTCAACGCTAAATTCCAAATCAGTCTTGTTGCAAGTCATTCAGAAATCTCCAAACTGTATGAAGCAGCTGATCTTGTCTCAGTCCTGAAGATTTGATCTACATACTTGCAAAGTTGTATTTCTCTTTAGAAATGGTTTTAACTTTATTATCCTAGAAGTACAGGCTGAAACTCCATCTGTACTTTCCCGGAAACCAAAACCCTCAAGTTTATGTCAAATAGCATGGAGAA